CCCACATGGCAGCTACAAACCGTCCTTAACTCCAGTTCCAGGGGAATCTGAAGCCCTCTTCTGACATCCGTGGCGTTGCAAGACACAGGTGCACTCACATACACACAGGCGATACACTCGTACACAAAATATAAAAATAATAAATAAAATATTTTTTAAAAAAAGATAAGCAGCTCTCCAGCAATCTTCCAGGCTTTCAGCACCAGACTGGGTCTGCTGAGGCACCCAGCTTCATGGACTAACGCAGGCTCTTAGCATCTCCAGCACACGGACAGCCACTGGTGGACCACCCAGCCTCTAGCCTGCAAGCCAGTCTAGTAAATCCCCTTTACCGTATGTATACAGCCTGTGGGCTGTTCCTTGAGAGGCTCCTGCCCAAAGCATTTCCTTTCTCTTGTCACTGTGACCACATACCTTACAAAAAGCAGCTTAGAGGAAGAATTAACTTTGGCTCAAGGTCTGAATGGTGGCAAGAGCACAAGGCCACTCGCCCACATCTGCCCAGATCCGGAGAAACATGCTGGTACTCGGCTGGCTTTCTGATTTTCCCTTCTTATTTAGTTCGGGACCCCAGCCTGTGGAATGGTGTTGCTCACACTCTGGGAAGACCTTTCCTCAGTTAAACCTCTCTGGAAACTCCGCCATACACACACCCAGAGGTATGTCTCCTAGGTAATCCCAAATCCCAATCAGGTTGACATCAAAGATAAACCATCGCATATGACTAGCTGGCTCATCTATCGTGAAGAGTAATTCTCACGTAAGGAGCTGATTGAGGCCCAACAGCAAGTGTGGCCATCATGAGAGGAGACAATGCCAGAGACAGACAGGGTGTGCTTAAGCAGGAAATCACACAGCCTAGTCTAGTATTTCTAAAGTTTCTGTGGCTTCACATATCATTTTCCATTCCCCTGAGAGAATATTTTTTCTTTAAACGCCTTTAGATTCATAAAAATGTTTTTATTCAACTTAAAACAAAAGTATTCACAAAGGCCTGGAGGGACGGCTCAGCGGTTAAGAGCACTGGCTGCTCGTGCAGAGACCAGTGTTCAGTTCCCAGCA